CAGGCTCCTCGCAGTGTTTCACAGCGGCAGTGCCGCATGGAGCCCAGGATCATTTGGAGTCCCCAGCTGATCCTGGGCTCCATGCGGAGCTTTTGCCTTTGAAGTGTAGCAACAGCCCTAGTCAATTAGTCACACTTACTGCATGCTCCAAATAAAGATGTTAAATAAGGGAGAGGAGAGGTTTGATTACAGCAGCTGGGTTTGCCAGCACGCTTCTCTAGCTTCCTGGTCTGGGGAAGAGGGAGCAAACTGCATGGGGTGGGTGAGGGAAATGAGGGGCAGTGCTGGTGTTTATGCAGTGAGGTGGGGACATAGGGTATCTTTACTTGCTCCCATCTGGACTGTAGGTAGCAAGAGCCAAACTCTCAGCCCAGCAGCCCTAGTTGGGCTGTGGACATAGGACTCTGTCCTGGGCTGGGGCAGGCTGTATAGGGTTGTGCCAAAATTTCAGGTGGGTTAAAAGCTTTTAGGCTGCTTTTGAATACTAGAACAAAAGGCCTAGCTCATGACATGTGCATGATTACATTTCAAACAAAGTTTACATAGGTGTTAAAGGCTTAAGGTAAAAAAGGAAAGGATTTTTTTAACAAATTTTTTTTTTAGCTTTATAGATATCTGCAAACTCTGAACTTAATGTTTTTTTTAAAAAATCCTGTGTCACTAATTAATACTACTAGGGATGTAAGCAACTAGTTGAGTGACTACTTGACTACTTCCTTCCCACACACACCTCTTTACAGTCTCTGTATCAAAGGCAGCAAGGGGGGGGGAAGCAGGAGCTGGAGCTGCGGGGAGACAGCTTAAAAGCCATCTCTCCCCAGCACTGTCTCTGTAGTGCAGGGCCCCAGGGTTAGCACAGCTGTGACTGTTCAGTACTAGTTCATGCCACTCCTGGGAGCTACTGCACGGTAACCTACTTTGAGGTTAGCTCCTGGGGTGGTGTGAGCTGGCACTGAATTGTCCTAGTTCGCACTGCCCCGGGATGCTGTGGCTCTGTACTTCTGAGCTTGGCAGGCTCTAGTGCAGAACCGCAGAGGGAGTGTTCCCTCCCCACTATTGGCTAATCAAGTAGTAGACGGAAATTCCATTGACTACTCGATTTGTCAGTTACCCAATAGTAATGTCCCTAGTTAATACATGGTCAGTTGTTAAAACTGGAAGAACTTTACCATGAATCCTGTTTAATTTGTTTGGCCTTTCAATTGGAGTTGAATTCTGGACAAGTCCTCTGGGGGCTTTCTACTCTTTGAATTAGTGACACACACAAGGCGAAAGTTTTCAAACCAGAAATTTTATCTGTTTTACAGATCTCTGTTTCATTTGCATAGCATGGATTCTAAATATTCCCCCAGAAAAAGTATATAAGTCTGAGTGAATGCCTTTAACTCTCCTTTCCAGAGTCAGTAAATATTATTTTGCTATTTTCAAGAAGAGCATGACTATTTGTAGTTGACTCATAGATTTGTTTAGTATCTTAAAGCTGTGCATATTTTTTAGACTTTTACTTAATGGCCATGTCTTTTATTTATTTATATGGCTATTTGCAGTCTGCCCCATTTTGGTGTGTTTACTAGCTTGAGTTGTTAGAAAGGACGATACTACATGTACTCTAAGGGTAGTATTAGTTTTCTTTATTTTATTTCATATTAAATAATGGTAATTATCTCTTGTTTTAATATATTGCCTTCCATTCCTGTGGACTGTTTATATAGAAATAAGTTTTCCTGTGGGATGACAGAATGTCATTACATCATCTGCATCGACAGTAGCCAAGCCCTTGTCAGCCTGGCCCTCCCCAGGGGCCAAGTGGAGAGTGGGGGCTGCCGTGCTGCAGCCTTGGCCTGGTCCTCCTTGGGGGAGGAGGGGAGGAGGCTGTCTAACCCCAGGGGTGGAGATGTGCATAGCGAGCAGGGGATGCAGCCTGTTGGTATATATTTGTACCTAGGTTTTTTGTTTGTATTTGGACACGCTACACATCCTCAATATTGATGGTGAACATAAGAAATTTCAACCCACCCAAAAAAAATTCAGCCCACCCAAGGATGGAAAATGTTAGAGGAACACTGGTGGGAAGCCAGCTTTTAAGTTGGCTCCCTGTGTGTACCAGCTCCTGTCTGCCTCCCCTGCCTCTGTCAGAGGCAACAGCAGGGGAGGAGACCAGCTGGCTCCCCAGGAATTGTTGCACACGGGGAGCTGTTTTAAAAGCTGGCTCCTTGTATATACCAAGAGCCTGCATGTACCTGTGAATTTTAGCACAACTGGGCCCATCAGTTAACCATGTACATGCTTACACTTTCACATCTCTAGTGTCTGGTAGTGTTTTCTCCACAAGCTGCACATCAGTTCTGTCTTTCCACTGAAATGTATTTCAGAAATATAATTCGTTATAATTTAATGTTTTTTCTTCTAATTTTCTTTGTCTTGACTAAAAGAAAGAGTACAGTGTGTGTGTGTGTATATATATTAAGCGGAAAACTACACTGTGCAAACCCTGAGCTGACATCTTGTAGAGGTGGCAGGATATAATGAACTTTTTTCACTTTCCTTTCCCCTTTAAAGGCTTTAAAAACAAGGAAATTGGTATTTATACATTACATTTGGTTAAGTTTTCATGTTACTGAGCTGGTTTAATTTACATTTGTTACTAGAGGGCATGGAATAAAATGAAAGGGGAAAAATGTAGCTAAGGAATTATATACAGGCAGTCCCCAGGTTACGTACAAGATAGGGACTGTAGGTTTGTTCTTAAGTTGAATTTGTATGTAAGTCGGAACTGGTACATATTGTAGGGGAAACTCTAGCCAAACATTTCTCCAGAGCTCAGTTTTATTCTCCCACACCTCACTTCCCTCAGTCCTTTATTCTCAAGCTGAGGTATCTGCTGAGAAAAGCCGCTCCACGTCTCCCTGGTCTGCTGGGGGGGGAAGGGGGGGCGCTAGCTTCGCGTCTCCCTAGTCTGCTGGGGGGAAGCAGCTAGTGTGGGGTTGCTTCACCTCGTTTGTAAGTAGGGATCCGATGTAAGTCGGATCCATGTAACCCGGGGACTGCCTGTACAATATCAGGGGGACTATTTGATTAGTATTTAAAAACTGCTCATTTCCACTGGTTTCTCACCCACTTTATTAAAGTTATGAACAAGCAGTGGTCTCTTCCTAAACAAATTCAGTTGGTTACAAATTACAACTCAAAGTTTTATTTTCTCTACAACACTTTCTACTGTATTATTTCAGTACATTGGTAATTATTTTTCAAACTGAATGACCTGACCAGTCTACATTTCTGTTTTGATTACTGTGCCTTGTATAATGTCTGTTGTGTTTGTGGTTGAGATGGCTGTTTTACACAGCCTTTTGTGTGAATAGAATTGAATTACTTTTAAGATACTATTTCCTACTTTTTTCTTGTTAATATAAAAGGGGCTCATACATTTTTAGAAGAAGTTATTACTTCACTTTGTCTGGTACTGGGAGTTCCCCGATTTAATGTGACTTCAGAGACCATGGGAAATGACCTCTCCAGAGGGCTGGGAACTAGTGGTGGTTTCTAGACCCATTTTGAGGTGATGGACCATTGCTGAGAGGAAGATGTCCCGTGCTGGGATGGAGATTGGGACCTGAATGCCCTGCGCTTGTGTCCCGAGTAGTGTGGTGCCAGCAAATAGCGATGGCACAGTGAGTGGTGCTGTCCCTGTGGGACTATAATCCTTGACCTTTGGTTTGCATGCAGTGAGCATCTGGCTCTACCTAAGTTAACTGCTGGGGGGTGCACGCATCTAGAGGTCTATGTCCAGCCTCCAGCAACGCTTGGCTCAAAGCATTAGACATTGATTTCTACGTCACAGTGTGTGCTAGCCTGTGGAGTGTTCTTCTTTCTTACTGAGTTGAAGACCATGAATGCCGGACACAAGGCAACCAGGAGGGCCAACAGGGGAATTGGCGGCACTGGCATGGAAATAATGAGAGATCTTGGAGTCGTTGTGGATAGTTCTCTGAAAACATTCACTCTATGTGCAGCGGCAGTCAAAAAAGCAAACAGAATGTTAGGAATTATTAAAAAAGGGATCAAGAATAAGACGGATAATATCTTATTGCCTCTATATAAAACCAAGGTATGCCCACATCTAGAATACTGTGTACAGATGTGGTTGTCTCATCTCAAAAAGGATATATTGGCATTGGAAAAGCTTCCAGAAAAGGGCAACAAAAATGATTAGGGGTTTGGAACAGGTCTCATATGAAGAGAGATTATAGAGACTGATTTTTCATCTTAGAAAAGAGGAGACTAAGGGGGTATGATAGAGGTCTATAAAATCATGACTCGTGCAAAAAATGATTAAGGAAAAAATATGTACTTGTTCTTAATATAAGAGCTAGGGGTCACCAAATGAAATTAATAAGTGGCAGGTTTAAAACAAACAAAGAGAAGTTTTTCTTCATGCAGCACACAGTCAGCCTTTGGAATTCCTTGACAGAGGATGTTGTGAAGATCAGGACTTGAACAGACGTAAAAAAACCAAAAAAGCTAGATAAATTCATGGAGGTTGGGTCCATCTATGGCTGTTAGCCAGGGTGAGTGGAGGTGGTGTGCCTGGCCTCTTGTTTGTTGGAGGCTGAGGATGGGTAACGGAAAAGGGATCATGTGGTGATTGCCCGTTCTGTTCACTCGCTCTGGGGCATCTAGCATTGGCCACTCTGGAGGACAGGATGCTGGGCTGGATGGAATGCCTCCAGGGTGAAAGGCACCTGGATGCTTGGGCTAGGCAGTGGAAAGCGAGAAAAACTAATCAGGTCCACTTGTTGTTGGTGCTTTATCCAGCCTGTGGTCTTTATGGTCCTCTTCCCCGGGACCACTGAAGATACTTGGTGCCAGCCAGTTGCCGTCGCTGGGGGAAAGCCCTGCACTGAGGTGCTTACACTCGGTGCCAAGTCCTGATCTTGCAGTAGGGAAGACTCCCATCAGCAGCACCTTTAAATGAATAATTCTGTCCTTTATCATCCTAGGCCAGGAGGATCTGCAAATCCAGCACTTCTCACTGATATGAGACTCTCCAAGACAGTGAAGGCAAACACCGTGCAGGTCGCTAAAGCCAGGGGAGCGGAGTATGCACCATCCCCAGGCTAAGTCCTTGAAGGGGACTAATTACTGTTTACTACTAGAACATGGAGGGAAAGGAAAACTATTTAGAAGTGAAAAGAACGATAACAGTAGAAAAGACTGCAGCTAAAGGCTGGAGTGAACAATTCCAAGCACCGTCACTGGCAGCAAGAAGGAACTCAGGTAGGAAGGGACCAAGGTGGCGCTCTTTATAGCGCAACATGTGCGTGCCATTCTAGGGGGTGCTAGAGTTGGTCTCCTATGGAGTTTACTGTGGGAAAATCTTCTGGCACCAGTACATGTGATGAGCACACCCACCTAAGTTAAATGGATGAGAGCAAGCACTCAAAGATGAATCAAGGGTGGAAGAATGCTGAAATAAACCAGCTCTTGCACCATTCTTGAATTATTGATATTTGCTAATATACTGCTCACTGTGCTTGCCTACATGGAAACAAATGTAGAATTGATGTTCTTACTTCACAAGTTTTAGAATGTATGTTGAACAGGACTTTTTTGAAATTCATGGTTTTTAAAGTAGAAGTTATTATTTGTACTCTAACTAAAGCTTAAGAATAGAAAACACGAAGAAATTATTTTCTTCAGTGTGTACTAAAACACTTTTTAGCACTCCTTAAAATGTGGGTTAAAACTGATTCAATAAAATGTTCTTAGAAAACTTAATATTGCCCACTGGCATTCACAATTCAGCTCCACAAAATTAACACTTGTGCCATAATATTGCTGTAGCTATGCTGAATTTCCACCTGTCTCAAGAAACTTGCCTTTGACTAGTGAAGTCTTTTCTTCTTTAAAAAAAAAAAAAAAAAAATTCCATCCCCCTCCTCAAGCTAAAAAAAAAAATAGGCATTAGCTAGCGAAAGCTTCTCAGTTACAACTTAACTTTTCTGAGGAAAAAAATACCATTGCATATATTCTCTGTATAAACAATAGAAAATCAGTTGGTTACTTCTGGAGTAGGGGTGAGCAATAAATGGCCCATGGGCTGGATGTGGTTCACCAGAGTTAGCCCCTTGTGGGCTACCAGATGCTTTTTTACCTGCATGTTGGCAGATAATCCCATTTGCAGTTTCTACTGATTATGGTTTGCAGTTCCTGACTAGGCCACTGCTTCATGAAATTCCCATTGTCCAGGAACAGCAAACCATGACTAACCGGAGCTGCGAGTGGCTGTGCCTGGAGAAGTGCAGTTGAATAAAGTGCCTGATGGCTGGCCAAGCAATAACTCTGATGAACCATGTCCAGGCTGCTTATTGCCTACCTGTTCTGCAGGATGAAAAACAAATGTATTACTAACAAGCTTCCACTGATGGAGTTCCAGAAAGGTCAAACTTCATGTTCCTGTTGTTAGGGCATATATGGGAAGAGGGGTAGGCATTCCTTCATGAAGGCAAATTTGGTTTTTATTACTGTTTTGAGGTCTGTCCTCTGTTTCTCTTAGAATGTCTGTCTGATCACAAATGATCAGGTCATCTTCCATCTTATACTGAAATCGTAAATTATAACCTGAGAGAGCAAACACTGAGAGGTTTTGAATCTTCTTCCCTTCTTACAAGTAGGGCCAGTTTGGCTATAATTTCACAAGCAGACAATTACCAGCTTATTGTCATTCAGAAGAGCTGATCCCTTCATCCCTGAGTTGTGCCTTGCGTGCATGCTGTGTTTCTGTTTTCTGCACATTCAGCCAATTCCTTTAAAATTCCATCTAATCCCAATTCTGTTAGCCCGTGTAAAGTTTCAGCCTGGTTCTGACTTTACAGTTACAGTATGACATAATGAAGAAAAGGTAGTCAGTGTCTCGAAGAGCAATGTAGCAACACATTTCCGGATGACACTAAGCTAGGGGGAGAGGTAGATACGCTTGAGGGCAGAGAGAGGGTCCAGAGTGACTTAGACAAATTGGAGGATTGAGCCACAAAAAATCTGATGAGGTTCAACAAGGACAAGTGTAGAGTCCTGCACTTGGGACGGAAGAATCCCAAGCATAGTTACAAGCTGGGGACCAACCAGTTAAGTAGTAGTTCTGCAGAAAAGGACCTGGGGGTTACAGTGGATGAGAAGCTGGATATGAGTCAACAGTGTGCCCTTGTAGCCAAGAAGGCCAATGGCATATTAGGTTGCATTAAGAGGAGCATTGCCAGCAGAACCAGAGATGTCATTATTCCCTTTTATTCGGCTTTGGTGAGGCCACATCTGGAGTATTGTGTCCAATTCTGGGCCCCCCACTACAAAAAGGATGTGGATGCATTGGAGAGGGACCAGAAGAGGGCAACCAAAATAATTAGGGGGCTAGAGCATATGACTTATGAGGAGAGGCTGAGGGAGTTGGATCTGTTTAGTCTGCAGAAGCGAAGAGTGAGGGGGGATTTGATAGCAGCCTTCAACTTCCTGAAAGGAGGTTCCAAAGAGGATGGAGAGAGGCTGTTCTCAGTAGTGACAGATGACAGAACAAGGAGCAGTGGTCTGAAGTTGTTGTGGGAGAGGGCCAGGTTGGATATTAGGAAAAACTATTTCACTAGGAGGGTAGTGAAACACTGGAATGGGTTACCTAGGGAAGTAGTGGAGTCTCCATCCCTTGAGGTGTTTAAGTGTCGGCTTGACAAAGCCCTGGCCTGATTGATTTAGTTGGGATTGGTCCTGCCTAGAGCAGGGGACTGGACTTGATTACCTTCTGAGGTCTCTTCCAGCTCTATGGTTCTATGATTCTAACACCTATTCTGAGACTGAAATAGAACATTCTTCTTCAAGTGTTGTCCCTGTGTGTACTCCACTTGAGGTGTTGGAGCCTCCTTGTGCCGGTGATCTGAGATTTTGGATATCCGTGCTTGGCTGCTTCATGTATGCACAGGATCTGTTTCAGTACTGTTGGCACCCACAATATAGCGCATGTGTAAGGCAGTGCTTCAGTTCCATCTCTGCTGTCCTAGGCAGCAGAAAGAGGCTCTAAGTAGTACTGACTCCTGCTTAGAACAAACAAAAAGTTGTTACTCTCCTCACTTTCATTCCTAATTTCCAAGTTCTTAAAACTAATAATAATAATAATAATCCCCCCCCCAAAATCCCTTGGAGTAGAGCTTCATTCCTACAATAGGCACCATGCTGAGGTCTCTCTGCTTCAAAAAATGCAACTTATGTCCATTGGCATGGGGAAGCACACATTCCCCAGAAATGCCTACATTGCAACAATATTAAGGCCAGGGTGAAACAGGACATAGAACTCCAACTGAAGGGGATTCTTCTGGAGAAATTCTTACAGCCCTCTGAAGAGCCTTCTCCTATAGGGTCTCTCAAAGCCACCAGGAAAGACAAGGCTCAAGTTTCCAGTAACTCCCAAGAAGTGAGCATCATCTCCTCCTACCTTGGACTCTCAAAAGAGGAAAGCTCCTATGGTGAGATCACTGCCCTCAGAGCTAAGCTCCTCGAGAGTCACTATCACTGAGACATCAGGCACATTCAGCACTGCCACAGTATGGACATCCGTGGACTCCAAATTGGAGCAGAGTGCTTCCATGGTGACACTGACATGGTCGGAGATGCTGCCTCCACTGGCACCAATGCAGACTGTGGCACCAACAGGCAGATTCCATGCAGCAATGACCTGGGCTTCTAAATTGGCATACAAACATGCGCTCAGCAACAGCTGGCACTGAAACAATTCCTTCACCACAAGGATGTTGAGGTTGCATCAGAATCACAATTACCTAGCTGAAGGTCTGACCAGGCTTCTTTATCTCCTACTCTCTCTTCCATATACAGCAAAGTGGAACTAAGCAGGCACAATAGCTGACTCTCCTCCTAACACACCTCTACGACAAAAAGGAGACGTTGGGAGCCTACAAATCCTAAGGCCACTCATGAGAACCTGGTGTAACCATGGTATGGGCAGCTATGGCCTTGCCCACCATTAATATATTCCATGCACTGGCCACCTTAGGACCTTACAGCTAACTATAGACACCACGATGTTGCCCCATCTACTCCAATGCACAGGGCTCGACAATCTTTGTAATCTACTTGCCTGTGGCGAGTAGATTACAACTCGG